GCCGCTTGGTCCGAGGGGGCGCAATGCTGGGTTTCAAGACCATCAGGAAATTTCACCATAAACGTCTTCTTGGGGGCGCTGCCGAAATTCGTCGAACCTTTTAGCGCACTCTTGCCTCCGGAACCGCTAGGGCGACCAGAGCCCTTGCAGCTGACCTTGAACTCGGGGTCACCTTGCCAATGTAGAAGTCCGCTTCCTCTCGGCGATACGCGGTTCTTGAACTTTCTGCCCAGCGCCCCATTCTTGAGGCGATCACTGGTCACCGTCAAGACGTCCATGAGGGAGCCTACCTGATTATTTTCTGAGCGACCGCCGTCCTCATCATAGTCAGACGGCGTTCATCAGCTGCAGCTTCAGCTTCTTCTTGTCGCACATCTTCTGCGTCATCTTGATCTTCGTTGGCATTTTGCTGGGGGGCGTTGTTGATGTCGTTGAGGTCGGTGTTCAGGACTTGCTTCTTACGCTTGCCATCACCCTTGCCTCCACGCTTGCCTTGGCCAAAACTCGTGCTGTCGGTCGTAGTAGACAGGTGGTGTGGGCTTAAAATCCGGAAATTGCATGACCAGGCCGTCCGCGACCTTGTTGTCAGAGAAGAGAGGGAGTTACCAGACGCCACCAAAGCCAAACAAGCCGATCTGGGGGCAAAGCACAGCGCTCCAACAAACGGTTGCCTCTGCTCTCATCAGCATACATCTGACCAGTTCAACTCGACTGCTTCTGTTGATATACTGCCGAACGCTGCGGCTTTTGCATGTGGCTGAGATGCTTGAAATCCAACAACAACTTCCTCTTCTGATGCATTGGCTTCTGCTGCAGCGGGCCTCTCAGCTCCTCAAGCAAGTAGTTGATGCCGTCGTGGCTGTTGATCTTTCTTGTTCTGCTTGAACGGTGAGTGAGGTGAACAGGGCCAAAGCAGCTTCAGCTTTTGTCATGTAACTGCTCACCTATAACTCCCACGTTCTGACGCGTCTTTCCCAGCCGAGAATGCTTTGAGATGTGATGGTGAATACTTCCACGTCGGGGGCGCGGGCGGTGCACCTCCACGCAAGCGAACACCAGGTTCTGGACTGCGACGTCAGTTCCATGTGTCGGCACTGGCGCCTAGGGCGATTGTTCTTCTCGTTCGCCAGCTGCCGAAGTGCGGACAAAATGTCCTTGCTGACACTATCACGCGCGTCTGCATGATGCGTGGGCTGATGTGCTCCGCCATGACCTTTTCCTTTGGAATGTCCGGAAGCATTGACGTGGCCATCTGGGTGAGAGCGGGGGCGGTTTCCTCCTTTTCAATCCTGTTGCCGTTGCTGAGCAAAGGCGTCAGGAGATCAGGATCAACCACCTCATCTGTCCGGCGTTCACTCTCAGAGTACTCATCTGGTGGCTTCCTGCTGAACCGCCGGATCCGTTGTGACCTTGCCGACGATCACGAGGACCGTGATGACGGGGTCCTTGATGTTGACCAGGGGCTCCAGAAGGATCTGATTCAAGCCATCTTGAACAGCGTCACGCCGAACTGCCTGTGAAGTGTCATGCACTCGCTCATGTCCGCAACTCAATTCAGCATCGCCGACCTTCATGAAGACCGATCTGGTCGGAAAAACATCTCACACGCCGCCGTTGACTGCTTGGGCTCCTAGTGCTACCAAGTCCCTGCGCCGGCTGTGCGCCATGGCTATAGGGGGTTGGCTACCCTCCAAGCCGATCGAAGTGGTCCCACTGACACTGCCAGTCGAACTCCCGCATCCTCTGCTTCCACATCAGACTCGCCAATCCGACGCTCCTCTGCAGCCGGCCGCTGGCTCCGCTGCCAACTCACTGGCACACTTGCTGCTGGGTGTCCAGTGCTCTGGGCTGAATCCATGTGTCAAACCAGGTGCGCCGCAGGCGTGAGGTTTTCCACATTGAATATGATCTAAGGCTCTGTGCGCACTTGAGCGCGTAAAGGCAATCGGAGTGCACGAATCAAGCGCAACCCGCTGCAAACTCACAGGAATGACGTAGAATCTGGTACATTTAGCTCCCTTAAAACGTGGAATTGGGTCAGCCGCTCAAAACGGGTCATTTGGTCAGCCTTCTTTAATTTCGGAGGCTGCGCTGCCTCGCACAAGGCTGCGCTGCGCCGGCTTCAGGCGGCGCCAGAGCTTCTGCGCTTCCTGGGCGCCCCAGTGGCCGCTGCTTTGCAGCAGCTCCATCTGTGTCACCTCCTCGCAAAGCAAGGGGCAATGGAGGAAACGCAAAATCTAAACTTTCCTCTTCAAGTCTCAAGCAACCCGCTGTTCCGCTTCGAGATCTTCGGGCTCGAGATGCTGGATCGATTCTTTGGTGAGCCGCTGCCGCCATCAATGCGCCATCCTAAAATTGGACACTCGTTTTGGATACAAAGGGCAGCTAAAAGGAAAACTGACTGACTAACTCACTGACTCGAGGACTCACTGACTCACTGACTCTCAGACTCACTCGCTCACTCTCTTGCTCACAAGGAAAACTGTGAAATGTACCAACTGAAGCTGTCAAACGCCTATTGCCCTGGCCTGGTTCCCATCCGCCGGTCTTGCCCGGCGCAAGCGCGCCAGAACCGGCCGGGCAAGGCTGGCCTTACCGCCCTCCAGGCAAGCCTGTGAAAAGAAAGCGCCGGCCTTTCGGAGATCAAGCAGATAACTCGCACTTGGTCTCCCAAAAGATAGCATTTTGAGATGTACCACGTACCCATGAGGACGTGCACTTGTCTGATGCTTGGCATGTTTGACATGTACCAGCTATGTTCCAACCCATGGTCGTTATCAAGAGTCTAGTCTGGTTTCAAGACGAGGGCCTTAGCTTTATGGCTCTATCGGACAACCTACACGAGTTGAGAGTGACTGAACGTCGTCCTGCATTTTCGGGGAGGGTAAACTTGAGGGGTGTTTTAAAATGGGACGTGTTGGAAGCGTTGTGTGATTACGCGTCGCTCTGCAAAGTGTCTCCAAAGGGATACAACGCCTCACTTAGGATTGCACACAGCAAAGAAAAACAGACAGCCTGATCAAAAGGCTGATAACCCTCCCAATTGCAAGCGCCTAGGCTGCTGGAATACAGCACGTGGCCAGCACGTGGCCAGTGACAACGCTGCGCGACAACGGCGTGACTTGAAACAAGTTCTGATGTTGCTTTGAGAAAAGCCGCTTTTGTGCTCAAGCACATGTCGCATTCCTAAAACATCCCGCCCGGCTCGCTATTGAAACCCGAAGCATAGCAGAATCCAAATCAATATCTATGTCCAGTTGCAAGTCCGCAAGCTTCCTGTCGTGCTTTCAAACACCAAACACCGCTCCTGTCCAAGGTCACACGCCATAAGCTTTTGAGCACCAATCCAGGTCATACAAATTAGCCTCTTTTCTTCTTTTTTGAGCTCCTTTGCATCTCCCTGAAACTGGCTGATGATTGAATTTACCCTGCCATTAATGGCCATCCGCTCGCTGCGAATTTTTCATGCCTTCACCTGGCTCATGCTGGACTAAACCCGGCGGGCGCGCCAAGACACTGGACACCGAGATTGACAAAATGTGACAAAAGGACCAACCTCCATGCGTAGGTTTGATCTTGTGAACGCATTTAACATCATCTAACCTGCTCACTTCCAGATATCCCCTATACGTTTTGCGCTCGACTGAGAGGATGTGTTCAATTTCAGTAAGGTCGCGCGCAATAAGGAAGTCTGTAGACTGTTTGCCGGGTCTGTAAAAGCACCTCAACGCACGGCGGTCTTGCTGTGAACTTGTAGCAAATTCTGCCCAGTACGGTAAATTGCCAGAGCATCTGAACACAACACACTAATGGATTTGATGGCGCCTCAAGCGCGGACGGGGTAGGGCCATGAGCCCACAATTCGAGCAAAGCAGGCTGATCGTGTCCGTCAGGCAAACAAAGCCTGAACGCTTGTTCAACGCGATCGCAGCTCTGTTGAGATCCAGCCCTGATTCACTTGTACTTGTGACTTACTTCCTTCCCTTCGCAATTCATGACCCGAACCTTGCAAGCTCGTTCCGCTCTCGTCAAACGCTTGCCGCATGCTGAAGGGGTAAGCTTAATATGCGCCAAGGACCAGCAAGGGGACACAGAATAGCTGCGAAGCTGTGCAGAGTTTCAGCCCGGTGCTTTGATCATATGCGGAAATGTACAGAATCTTCTGTCTGCGGCTCCCTCTTCCCCTACGGGTTTGCCTCGCCAGGCGGTCAAACTTTTGAAAATGGGGACAATGTCATGGAGAGCCCCTGTGAAAACACACAGACAGAGAGTCTTTCCACATGATTGTTGCTGGCTGCCGCCCAGTTTCAAAGTCAGAACACGCTAGCCCCTCACCAAAACTAGCTAAAACTCCAATTGGGAAGCAGCAAGCCAAATCCGAAGGCATGCTTCACACAAGGGCACCAAAGGCGCCCCATCAGCGCCTCACTGGCTGCCAGTAGTGTCAGCAAATCCGGCTGACTTTCCTGGCGTTGCATTAGCATTTGTGACATGGCCGTTGAAAGTGCCTCTGTCTCAGAGAGCTACCGGGCCTAACCACACCAAGCCTTCTGTTCTGGAGGGCTGCTCGCACATCGTTGATTTAGGGCAGGCTTCAGGCAAGCGCTTTGGGGCGAGGTTACTTGTCCAGGTTCTTGGAGAGCTTTTGGAATGAACTGGGACTGTTCAAGGTTGGTGAACAACTCATATCGAGTGGGTTTGCGGCGAGCTTGGGGGTTGTTTGGGGAAGTGGTTTCGGACGCTGAACAAACAAGTTGGGGCGAGGTCAGGGTTGATGAGCATGCGTGTGGTCTTCTACATAGTTTCGCATTGGTTTACTTTAGGGTCAGGGTTGGTTCAATGAGTTCATGATGAATTTAGAATTGAACCTGGGTTGGTGAATTGTTGTTGAATTAGGGCTGAATGAAAACTGCAATAGTGTGAGGGCTTGGGTCTGATATTCTTCGGCGGCTTTTGTTAATCCAGATTGGTGCTAGCTTGTTATCAAACACTTTGGGATTGATTATGCTGGGCCCAGTTAGGCTAAACGTGAATGGTGAGCAGTTTCAAGATTGCGTTTGACTAGCTTAACTTAGGGCGGGTAAGGCTTTGGACAAGGACTTCTCTGGCTTTGAGCTGGATGCAAATTTCGTGGCTGGGCAGAATGTGTCCTGTCAAACGAATATTGCCCGATTGCCCTTTGTGTGTCGCAAGGCATTTTGTCATCAGTACCAGTATGCGGGAAATTACTTACGGGACTTATAAGTAGGTTATAACTTAGGCTATAAGTTCTGTAACTTAGGTTATAAGTTCGATAAGTTCTGTAAGTGCGCCGTAAGTTCATATGAACTTATAAGTTACTCGGGGTCTACTTATGGGACTTATGGCTTGAGCGTCAAATAACTTACGATGAACTTAGGAACTACTTAGGGTGAACTTACGTTCGTCAAAAAAATGAGCACCTGCGCAGGGTCTATAGTGTGATAGGGTTGCTAAAAATATATATAACCCCACATAGGCTTTTCTGTGTCCCCAGAGTAGAAAACTTGTATTTGCTTTTTGCTCGCTTTTTTTTTCGCCGCTGCTTCTGGCTCTCTTTTGCTTTCCCGCAGCTGCTGGTTCAAGCTTTTGCTTTGCGCGGCGCAATGGCCTTGGCTTGTCTGCAAGCCGTGTCACGGTGCCTCCCCGCGGCCGCGGCCGACCCGGGTGGCAGAGAGAAGCTTTTGGCATCTGCGCAGACTTTTCTGCTTGCAGAGCCGCGGGAGCGCGCAGATCTGCTGGCCGCTGGGGCGTTCCTGGATACGCCCGACGGCGCCTTCTCTCCGGGTGAAAAATGTCAGCTACAAGAGCTGCTGCGCTCCATGGCGCAAGCGAAGCAGGCCGGGGAAAAAGATCGGCGAAGACAGAGCCAGGACTACACCAGACTGCACTTTTTCTTGACAGCCGAGCATTGGGCTCGCTTGTCTGGCAAGCTTTCTCTGAGAGAGAAAGCGGAGTATATCCTGGAAACTGCCGCGACGGTTCTGCAGCTCGGTCTTCCGACAGAGCTGACGTTGGCAGGAGTCACCGCCGTATGCTCGCTTCTGGAGCGGGCCGTCCAGTTCTTGGCAGCTCGCCACAAGCTATCAGGTAGTCAAGTCAACTTGGAAGGCGGTGCATAAGCGCTTGCAAAAGATGGGGAGAGCGAAGACAGGGCAGCTGCTGGCGGTCTTGACGGTCAACTTTAAGGATTTGCCCGCAGATCTAGTCGCGGCCTTCGAGGGCCACGAGCCGGCGCGTCAGACAGCGTGGCCCCTTCAGGATCAGCAGATCGCAGCCTTGGCCGCGAAGGTGCCCTTGCGCAGCACAAATGCGCAGGCCGCACCGCCGGCAATGTCTGGCCCAGCCATGGCTGACGTCATGGGCGCTGTCATGCGCCAGGCAGCGGGGAGTCTGTGCTCATGGGAGCGTCCCCCGGGCATCCGTGACCCCGCCTTGAACTTGCAAATCCTCAAGCCGCAAGGCGCGGACAACTCAGCAGGTTCCCTCAGAGCTCGTGCGCAGCGATGTGCCTGAGCCCATCGCGCGGCACCAGCAAGAGCTGGCCCTGGACACGGCAGTAGGCGCAGATAACGGCAGAGACGGCGAGCGCAGCAACGACGAGCCATCGACGAGCCCTCCCGCAGAACTGTCGGCGTCCGCAGCCGCAGACCTACTCGGTCAGGACCGGAAAGGCATGAAGCGTCCAGCGGCGCGGCAGCTTGGCTCTGCGTCAAAGCCGTCGAAGGTCCTCAAGCGCCCTGCGGCAGCAGCAAGCTGCGCAGAGTCTGCGGACACGCGCCAGAGCGAGTCGTTGTCTGCGGACACGTACCAGAGCGAGTCGGCGCAAGCTCAGTACTGGGGCCACGCGCACATCGGGTACTACTCGCAGAAGTCTTACATTCGATATGCCAAGCGGACAAGAAGTACCGCCTGATCATAGGGGCTTCTGGTCCGAACCACAAAGCCATCTGCAAGCAGCTGTGGCCTGCAGTGAAGAAAGGCAAGCAGCTTGACGCTTTGCAGAAGATGCGGGCCCGTCTTCTCAAGGCTCCCGCATAGGGTTTGGCGGCGTTCTCGCTTGTCCATACGCGTCTTTCGAACAGGGGTCGGCGCAAAACAAAAAACGCACACGTGCTCGTTTTTTTTTCTCGCGTCAGTCGTCGTTTGTCGGGCTCTTGCATGCACACCGCTGCATGTCATGGGCGGCGCAGCCGTTGAGGCTCGAGTGGGAGCCATGGCGCCCAAGGAGGCGCCGGAGGAGGCAGGGCATCGGGCCGGCGTCTCGCTCTCGTACAAAATATAAATATTATTATATATCTATGCCAACACAGTGCAAAAATATAATATTATACACATGTATCTTTATATATATATATATATTATGTGCATGCGCGCCGTCATCCGACACGCGCGGTTAGTTTTGCCGTCACGGCTGCGGCCTGACTTCGCCACGGCTGCGGCCTGGCGCCCTTCCTGCGGCTGCGGCCCCGGAGGGGCTGCAGCGCGCGCGGCTTGTGCGCCATGTGCATGTATACATATATATATATAAAGCACAGACGCGGTCATATATATGTAGATATATAATGCGTATAGTGCGCACCAGCGCAGGCACATTTTTTTTATCTCGCGGCTTTGTTTTTCTGTCATATATTATTTACGCGCGCGTGTCGTCTCGCCCTGCGCAGGTGCCACCTCCTGCGGGAGGAGCAGGCGCGCCTGCACAGGGAGAGGATGAGGATCAGGAAATCCCCGATCCGGGGGATTCCGTGAGCGCTGAGGGGGACAAGGCCAAGGAGCCGGCTCCTCCTTGGCCGGAGCGGGCTAAGGAGCCGGAGCCGGCCAAGGAGCAGGAGCCGGCCAAGCCGCCCAAGGCGGAGGATTCCTCCTCGTCCGAGGGCACGCCGTCGCCGGCCTCGGTCAGGAACCGGGGAGCAGCCGAGCGGCGAGACCGCTCAACGCCGGCCTCCGCCGAGAAGGCGGCCGAGCTGCGAGACCGCTTGCTGAGGCAGCGGTCCGGCTCGGAGCGGCCGCCTGAGCCGAAGTTCCCGCCCAAGATGCTGAAGCCACCGGCCAAGCCGCCGCCCCCGGCGAAGGCGCACCGCCAGCGGTCCAGCGCGCCGAGCCGGCGCCCCTGCTCGCACTGCGGGCGGCAGGTGGCGGACGATGCATCTGCCCGAGAGCAGCATGAGCGAAGCCAGCACTGCATCGCTCATCGGATGTGGCGGTCGGGGCGCTACCGCTCGTGGGCAGACACGCTGGCCGCGGCGCAGGAAGAGAGCGACCGGGCGTGGCAGGCCGCATATGGCCCGGACAAGTCCGAGGACCCGGAGCTCTCGCGGGAGCCGAGCCGCAAGGTGAATCTGCTGGCACGCGTCAAGTCGCAGTCCCGAGCCCCCACGGCCACGGAGAAGCGCAGGCGGCGGAAGGAGAGAAAGGGGAGCCGCGCGCGCTCGCGCACGCGCGGCCGCCGCCCCAAGGAGAAAAAAGAAAAGAAGAAAGCGCGCGCCAGCCCAACCCCCGAGGCCCGCGGGCCGAAGAAGGGTCCAGGCGGGGGCGAGCCCCCGCCGCCGCCGGACGGCTCGGACGGACCCGGTGGCGCGAAAGGGCAGGTCCTGACCGCCCTTTTCGAGCAGGCCACGCGCACCTTGCAAAGCCTGTGAGGCTGGCAAGCCGCCATGCACAAGCTGCGGGGCACGTATAATATCGGCGGCGAGAGAGGACGAGAGAAGAAAAAAAACGCGCGCGCAAGGGTTCGGGCGGGAGGGGGGGGGCGGAGAGGGTTTTCTTTTGCGTCTTTGGTGTTTGTTTTTTTTCCGGCTCGTCGTGTTTCCTACTATATACTCAAATTGTCCAATGTCGGCATTTGTCGGCGAGGTTTTCTTGGCACCCTGGATTTATAGCACCCCATGTCGGCGTCATGTGCTGTAGTAGTAGGGCCCCGGAACCCCTGACGTCGGCCAATGTCGGCATTTGTCGGCGCATGTTTTTGTGGCTTTTGCTTGCGCTTGATATCGACCGCGGCTCTCTCGGCTCGAGACTCCTTTGTTTTTCTTTTTTTCTTCCTCGCAGCCGCCCGCACTATATATGGCGGAGACTGCGGTCCCGAAGGCTTGCTGCTCCCTGTGCGGGAAGTCGTCCGTGGACGACACCAGGGGAAGATCCTCCGGTGTCTCCTGGGAGTGCCGGACCTGTCAGTCCCTGAAGAGCATGGTGAGCCGGAACGCCGGAGACGCGCTTGCCGAATTCACCATCGATGACAAGAAAGCCTGCTTCAAAAAAAATCGCGAGAACGGCGAGGGCTCTCGGTACACCTGGGCCACGGTCAGAGCCGTCCTGGTCGACCAGACCATCAAGAAAACGATTCGGGCCCAGGAGCACTCCACCATCACGGACTCCAAGCCGAGAGCGGTTTGGCTCGGACTTGGTTACTCTGACGAGCAGTTGGACAAATGCCCCACATGGACCT